GAGGCACGGTTTGCAAGTACCAAGTGATTCATAATCAAGTGGTTCCAAAAGTCCATCAGTATGGAGTTTCTTCATGCGCTTTACTCCGATATGACCTAAACGGCAGTGCCAGAAATAAGTTGCACTATGATTATCAACTCTGCATCTTTTGGCTTCAATATTATGAATATGTGTATCACCACTATCGAGATTTAGCAAAAATAGACCACTCTTCAAGGGTGCATGACCATAAAAGATATCACTCATAAATAGAACAACCATTATTCTCCGGTTTAAATGAATAACCGCCTCACATCAAACAAGATCCAGATATAATGTTCATGCTCAACGCTGGCACCAAATAACAATTATTTAGGTCTAATACTAATCCCGAAGGTAGATGTAGAGGCAGCGTGTGATACGTCTCCAACGTATCTATAATTTTTGATTGCTCCATGCTATATTATCTACTGTTTTGGACTACATTGGGCTTTATTTTCCACTTTTATATTATTTTCGGGACTAACCTATTAACCGGAGGCCCAGCCCAGAATTGTTGTTTTTGCCTATTTCAGTGTTTGGGATAAACGGAATATCAAACGGAGTCCAAACGGAATAAAATCTTCGGGAACGTGATTTTCTCATCGAACGTGATCCAGGAGACTTGGACCCTACTGCAAGGGATCAAAGAGGAGGTCACGAGGGTGGGAGGCACGCCCCCCTATGGCGCGCTCCCCTGCCTCGTGGGCCCCTCAGTGCTCCACCGACGTACTCCTTCCTCCTATATATACACACGTACCCCCAAACGATCAGAACAGGAGCCAAAAAACTAATTCCACTGCCGCAACTTTCTGTATCCACGAGATCCCATCTTGGGGCCTGTTCCGGAGCTCCGCCGGAAGAGGGCCGTCATCACGGAGGGCTTCTACATCATCATAGCCTCTCCGATGAAGTGTGAGTAGTTTACCTCAGACCTTCGGGTCCATAGTTAGTAGTTAGATGGCTTCTTCTCTCTCTTTGAATCTCAATACAAAGTTCTCCCCCTCTCTCATGGAGATCTATTCGATGTAATCTTCTTTTTGCGGTGTGTTTGTTGAGACCGATGAATTGTGGGTTTATGATCAAGTCTATCTATGAATAATATTTGAATCTTCTCTGAATTCTTTTATGTATGATTGGTTATATTTTCAAGTCTCTTCGAATTATCCGTTTGGTTTGGCCAACTAGATTGGTAGTTCTTCCCATGGGAGAAGTGCTTAGCTTTGGGTTCGATCTTGCGGTGTCCTTACCCAGTGACAGAAAGGGCAGCAAGGCACGTATTGTACCGTTGCCATCGAGGATAACAAGATGGGGTTTATTTCATATTGCATGAATTTATCTCTCTACATCATGTCATCTTGCTTAAGGCGTTACTCTGTTTTTAACTTAATACTCTAGATGCATGCTGGATAGCGGTCGATGAGTGGAGTAATAGTAGTAGATGCAGAATCGTTTCGATCTACTTGTCACGGACGTGATGCCTATATACATGATCAAGCCTAGATATTCGCATAATTATGCTCAATTCTATCAATTGCTCAACACTAATTTGTTCACCCACCATAGAATACTTATGCTCTTGAGAGAAGTCACTAGTGAAACCTATGGCCCCCGGGTCTATTCTCATCATATCAATCTCCATCACTTTAACATTGTTTTGCTTTTTTACTTTGCCTTTACTTTTTACTTTGTATCTTTATATCAAAAATACCAAAAAAAATTATATCTATCAGATCTCACTCTCGTAACTGACCGTGAAGGGCTTGACAACCCCTAATCGCGTTGGTTGCGAGTAGCTATCGCTTTGTGCAGGTACGAGGGACTTGAGCGTGGGATCCTACTGGATTGATACCTTGGTTCTCAAAAACTGAGGGAAATACTTACGCTACTCTACTGCATCATCCCTTCCTCTTTGGGGAAAACCAACGCAAGCTCAAGATGAAGGAAATATGCCCTAGAGGCAATAATAAAGTTATTGTTTATTTCCTTATATCATGATAAATGTTTATTGTCCATGCTAGAATTGTATTAACCGGAAACATAATACATGTGTGAATACATAGACAAATAGAGTGTCACTAGTATGCCTCTACTTGACTAGCTCGTTGATCAAAGATGGTTATGTTTCCTAACCATAGACATGAGTTGTCATTTGATTAGCGGGATCACATCATTAGGAGAATGATGTGATTGACATGACCCATTCCGTTAGCTTAGCACCCGATCGTTTAGTATGTTGCTATTGCTTTCTTCATGACTTATACATGTTCCTATGACTATGAGATTATGCAACTCCCATTTACCAGAGGAACACTTTGTGTGCTACCGAACGTCACAACATAACTGGGTTATTATAAAGGTGCTCTACAGGTGTCTCCGAAGGTACATGTTGGGTTGGCGTATTTCGAGATTAGGATTTGTCACTCCGATTGTCGGAGAGGTATCTCTGGGCCCTCTCGGTAATACACATCACTTAAGCCTTGCAAGCATTGCAACTAATGAGTTAGTTGCGGGATGATGTATTACGGAACGAGTAAAGAGACTTGCCGGTAACGAGATTGAACTTGGTATTGAGATACCGACGATCGAATCTCGGGCAAGTAACATACCGATGACAAAGGGAACAACGTATGTCGTTATGTTGTCTGACCGATAAAGATCTTCGTAGAATATGTGGGAGCCAATATGAGCATCCAGGTTCCGCTATTGGTTATTGACCGGAGACGTGTCTCGGTCATGTCTACATACTCTCGAACCCGTAGGGTCCGCACGCTTAAAGTTTCAATGACAGTTATATTATGAGTTTATGAGTTTTGATGTACCGAAGGAGTTCGGAGTCCCGGATGAGATCCGGGACATGACGAGGAGTCTCGAAATGGTCGAGATGTAAAGATCGATATATTGGACGACTATATTCAGATATCGAAAAGGTTTTGAGTGATTCGGGTATTTTTCGGAGTACCGGAGAGTTACGGGAATACGTATTGGGCTTTATTGGGCCATACGGGAAAGAAGGAAAAGGGCCTCATGGGTGGCCGCACCCCTCCCCTTGGTCTGGTCCGAATTGGACTAGGGAAGGGGGGCGCCCCCTTCCTTCCTTCTCCTTTTCCCTTCCTCTTTTCTTATTTCATATGGGAGGTGGAATCCTACTAGGACTAGTAGAACGCCCGTGTGTTGCCACGGGCTTTTAATTTAATTTTTAATTACACGTAATTAAATGCGTGTGCGTTATTACGGGCAACAAAATCTCTTACCAAAACTAAAGTTTTTTTTAACACGGTATGGACGTAGCGCTCATATATACGCGCATACACGCACTCCTATGGACGCACACATGCACATCCTACCTGTATGAGCACCTCCGAGAAACTAACTCGGCGTATCAAGCTTGGAATGAGATACATGTCATAGTATGTTTGTGCACGTATAATTCATACATGTATCTATGCATGATTGGCTTATCCACCTTCTTGAGCTCATCTCCCGTGAGCATCCCATCATCATTGTTCTTGTCACGCTGTTAATGTCACACCCAAACGAATTTATTTTTAGTAGATTCGATTGATTTAGTCCAAAATGGTGATGCAAACATAACTTCGCCCAACAATGTGGAGTTAAAGATTCCCGCAAAAAAAGCTACAGGTCAAAGATGTGGCCGATTGTCTCCATCCAGAACTCCTTGAGCTTATCCTTGTTAAGGAATTCGTCCAGCTCGATTTTCCTCTTGGGCAGGGATGACGAGGTCTTTTGATCGATGGATGGGTATAGGGTGGAGGGAATCGATTTGGTTTTACTGGGAGGGAGAAAAAACAGCAGGGAGGAATGATGTTAGGAGGTGAGGCGGAAATAAACTGTGGACGCCAGCCTACCAACTCGACAATGCAAAAATAAGCCCGTGGCAACCGGGAAGTGTTCTTAGTTAAATTCCATGAGGGCATGCCATTGAACAAAATTCAAATGAACCAATTCAGCTCACGTACACAAAAGCATGCCCTCATCCATGAAGTGTGTGGAGATCCGACAGAATAAGTATCAAAACAAAGTGTTATTAGCCCTGTTCAAGAATTCGTCCAATTAACCAGTTAACTTGCCAATTAATCCCTACTCATAGGGTCACCGAGTGCCAACCGTTAACGATTTCTTCAACGATGGTTATTAGTTAGATGCACGTGCGTTGCTATGACTATAATGCAAGTATGAGTTTCTAGAACTACTTTAGACTGTAATATTGTCCAATGGCATGACATCTGGTAATTTTTTTTCTGCCACAAAAATCAACATGTTGGTGTTTAAGCATAAGGACATTTAATAATCAAGGAACTGATGGTAACAAATAAATATCAGTGATATAATTCATTCCTTTGCAAAGTGGTGAAGTAGCAGCACATCACATCACAGAAATCACAAGGCTGCAAAAAAGATAGTGTCGCAATATTACTGACTACCAAGAAATTGATAGATGGATGACAGATGTGGAGGCACATCACTGCAGTTCTCACTGCCGGCACAAGGTCTGGACAACACATAACCGACAAGCACAACTTTCGCCTACAGGACCATTTCTCTCCATCATCTCCGACCTTGTTACAACAAACTAATACAAGAAACTGAAAAGAAAACTATGAGTAAATGAACACATGAACAAAGAAGAGATATCAATAAGAAATTATTTCTATGGTTTCACATGTAGACTTTGTAACTCCAATCCTTGAAGCCCCTTTACTCCACCGTGGAAAAACAAAAGGCACTTGTACCATACTTACCTCGTCATTCATTTCTTAATTTTTTTCATCAAGTTCATTTCTTTTCTTTTTTTCATCAAGCAATCCAAACTTGATGAAAAAAAAATAAGAAATGAATGACGAGGTAATAAGATGCAGCGTTGCTAAGGAACGCCGCCTCCTCCCTGCATTGAAGGGCCTCGGCCGCGCAACAAAGAGACAACATAGGTCATGTGGCTGGGGTGCGTGACTGTGAATGACCTAACACTGGTAGCAGAATAGTATACAAATAACCTTGTTAGCTGCGACGTTGCTTTGAGGCACTGGTCTCAGACAATCCAGGAAAACTATGATCTGGATAATACCAACTCCCTCCAATAAAAGCACTGAAATAACAGTTGTACGCATAGTAAGCATGATCAATATAAAAATAAGCATACGCATAGTAAGCATGATCAATAGAGGAAAATAAAACAGAAATCGCTCTCCGAGGTTAAAAGTGTAACAAGAAACCCAATAAGCATTGAGCCCCTCAGTGAGGCGCAAGCTGGTAATATACATATACACATCGCAGAAGAGACAACCTTGAACCATGCCTCCTCTCCTGCACACCATGTACACGGCGCAAGCCCGATGCCACCCATCCTTTGTGCGCCTTGCTGCTCTGGTGGCGGCACGCGAATGCAGGGAAGTCTTTCGCATGAGGCACGAGAAGGTTCTCCCGGAAACCCATGCCCGGGCCTAACATCAGGAGCTCCGCATGGTTCGGATGGTTGGAAGAGAAAATGTGTGAAAGTTGCTTACCTACATCAAGTCACTGTAACTTGAGCATCCTAATGTATGACCTGCTTACTTGAGGGGACAGAGAGAGCCTATGGAATGTAAGTTCCTTGGTTAATATTGAGTTTCCATCAATGTTTCTAGAGGGGGATTACCCCAGCTAACTGGATTTCAGAGAAGAGCATGATTCTGAGGTTCTCCAACCGCAACCTCTGTTAATATTTTATTTTTTCATTGTTTCTGCATTTTACTCCATGTACTGCAAATTTTGCGAGTTAGTACATAATTAAGTAAACCAATATCTAAAATTTATGTCGTGGTCTATATGAACATAAATAGTGAATAACATTTTACGCACTTCTAATGTTTTTGCTCTCTAATTCGTAGGTACTTGTTATATTCAGTTTGTCACTATGAGATAAGCTAATAAGCACGGCGTGGACATAATTAATTAAACCTCATCCGTTGTTCACAACTTTGATTTATTTACTTCTCTCTCTGTCATGAGATAGGGCAATAACCACAAAGGTGTATGCTATTGATCTGCTATTCACATCTTGCTTCCAGGTTGCTCAAAGTCTAAGCTAATAATATAATGCTACATTATTCTCAACTAAAACCATGCCAACTTCTGAACTTCAGGCTACAGAGGTGTAGGTTGCTTACTACCTAAACGAAACTGATGAGATCAAGAAAGATTAATTATACCATTAATCGATTATGAGCATGCCTGTGGCACATCTTCCAGTTACATGCATCAAATTAAGGTTATTTAGCTTATACCCAAAATTGTGCTGCATAGCAGAATGTATCTCAGCTAATGATGGTGGGTGGAAACTCCATAAGACCAAGATACACCTGCTTAGCTTGCATGAATGATATGGAGTTGAAATCTCTGTAAGATATAAATTAGTTCATGCATATTGAAGTTATATGTAATAATTCTGGAGCAAGCAGAGAGAACAAGCTCTAGCTAAAGGATAGGACAACATAATATATCCATGAAGATTTGCTCGATATAGCATCGTTCATTCTTAGCCCAGTAAGCCTGTAGTACATGAGGAATGTGCGACATAAAGTCCCTCTATAACTCCCAATCATGTGGGTTGAGTAATAACATCCTGCAGATGTAGACAAAAAAATTATACCATAAAATATTTGTTTGCAAAACGGCTATTATACACATCAGGAGATAAGAAACTACGTTTCTGAATCCAACCTTTGTTGCATTAATAGAAGCATTTCAAAATGTTGTTTAATGGACAATGAAATAGGAAAGCCATATTTCTCCAACTTTAAAAACAAGTGATCTTGATATATATGTACATAATCTAGAGCCCGGTATCTATCCTTCACCTTGATATCAATTATCAAACAGATGTCGGATATACAACTACTATAATTTCCCGAAATGCTAAATTATTCAAACTATTTAAGAGAACCGCAGCAGTTAATCGAACATAAAACAATGGAGATATGAACCAAATACTATGTGTGAAGTGTAAACATTTTATAAACCTTTGTATCCCTTGAAGCTTCAGGGATATCTCATCGGCTATGTTGCGTGCCAGTTGCAGGAGAAGGGCCATAAGGACCCCTTGGTTTAGAGGAACATGGTTCGCTCCACACAGCCCTTGCAAATCAACCTGGCCGAATGGGCATTTAGAGTATCAGGTATCCACAATTATACATATGGTCACTAAAACGGTGTATGACTTGATAAAACTGAGAAATTTTAGACCTTGTGGGTTGAAAGCCAAGCTCATTTATACATTTCAAAATTATCTTTTAAAATAACAAATAACATTGAAGGCATACATGTAACTGTGTTCTACGTGTACAAAAATAATTCTCTCGTGAGGTTGTACCATATAACATAAATTTTCAGTCACTTGGTTCAGTTATGCAGAGATGGTGTTCTCATTTCCGGTTTCTAGTGGATACAGAAGAAACAACTTACATTCTGAGGTGAACAATGAACTATATCCACAGCTTCCTGATTGTTTAAGTGCTCACATAGTCCATCTGATGCAAATATAACAAACTGATATTTTGCACAGTCTATGTTCTTCAATGGATGGTTCGGGACAAAGAATTGGATTATGGAAGGGCCTTCGAATATGGAACCAGGCCAGAAGGGGCTCATGATTAAATTCCGAACTTTTTAGGTAGGTGTGGCCAATCATTCTGGAAACCTGAATACAAAGAAAAAAACATAGCACGAGTAATTATTATGTGAGATATGTCAGAAGACATCGACCTTGGGACTTTGCACAAATGGTATGCTCTTGGCATCATTAATCCATGAAATGGGGCGCAAATTGAAACCTTTATCAAATAAACTCCTGGCCCAGGTTTACACAGAGGAGTATTTATAGACATCATCAATTTTACAGAGGCCGGCAAAATGAAATACCTGAATAATGCCCTTCATGCATCAAACTTTGTGTTTCAGGGCCATGATCCGGGGGTCATTTGGGTGTACCTGTCTTAGCTCATCCCTTACAGCCAGAAAGCTCGCGTTATGCTCAGATGACAGCTGAACTGCCTTAATGTCTTTGGCGCCTCTTTCGACCCTCCCGGGGACAACACATGAATCACCAGTGTTTGCTATGTAGAGGACCCCTTCATTGATAATGCCAACCAAACAACATGACCCAACCGAGGAGATCTGCGGTTTGACGAGCCATTGCTTCCTCACGTGATTCAGAAACACCTCCTCCATGGCAGTGTAGGATCTGTAGAGGATGTCGGCCGAGAGGTCTATTGTTCCATCGCAAACTCTGCATTGAAGTAATCATCAGCCAGCTATAACTAACAAACCAATTGAAAGTCTGATGATTCATTCATCTAAAATGGCAAACCACCATATCTAACTTATTGAGGAATATACTATTGTAACATGAATTGTGAAGGACCTGATATCATGGAAGCTTCTGAACAAGCAATCCCAAATCATGACATAAGTATTTCATCAACAAATAAGTGTCACATTTCAGGTAATAGTCAGGCATGTGTATGTTTGCAGCAGGAAATAAATAACGCACAACTGCTCAACGGCGAGGAACAACTGCAAAGGCGATGCCGCCCAGGTCCACGCAAGGCTGAACCCGGTGGTGTCCAAGTGGTGCCGGGTAGCAGCGAGCGCCTCCACAGCGCCTTCCGCCACCACCAGTGCCCGCCACCGGCACCCATCGCCCCATTATCTTTTCGCTGCAGCTGCACGAGCACGACACAGGAGCAGGGTAAATAACAGCAGCATGAACACACAGGGAGGCCAACCACGAACAATAACATCAGTACGGGTCGGCCACGAGCAGAAGCGGCATGCATCAGCAAGAAACAGCAGCGGCAACATGACATGGCGACTACAGCGCACGAGCACACGGGCCCGACAGCGGGTAATAGCAGCACCTGCAACATGACAGGGTGGCGGCGTCGAGCTGGTAACCCTAATCCTAGCTCGCCGGCCAGGGGAAATTGGGTGAGCGAGAGAGAGAGAGAGAGGACTGGCCTAGCCGGCGTCGCCGTCGAGGACCATGGGGTATCGCCGGGAGGAGCCGCCGAGGACCATCGAGAATCGCCGGGAGGAGCCATCGAGGACCACAGGGAATCGCCGATAGGAGCCTCCCTCGTCTTTCATCGAGCACCAACAGCGACAGAGAGGCGATAGCTTTCGAGAGGAGAGAGAGTGATCTGTAGAGAGGCACGGGATCTCCGCGTCGGCGAAGGGAGACTCCTCTCGGATCTCGGCGGCGGCGTAGGGGCGTCCTGAAGGGGATCGGAGGCGTTGGCGGCCAACGGAGATAGCGCACGGATCGAGGGTAGTCTGGAGGCATCGATCCTTGTTGCGAGCGCGATGGCAAGGGGTTCGGCGGCAAAGGGATCGGCGGGGTTGGATCTGGGCGCTCCCTCTCCCTTTCCTTCCCTTCCCTTCCCTTGGGATTCCCTTGGGAGAGGAGATCGCCGGCGGCGGGGTTGGATTGGGGTGCGGCGGCGGCTGCGACTGGAGACGGGAGATGAGGTAGGGCTAGCGAGGGAATGGTTCTGTCAAGACGGTAAAACCAGCGGAGGGAAGGTGGTGGACGGAACAAAAAAAATCTAGGAAGGTTAACCTACGAAAAAAATCGGACGAAAATGGTGGGACGAAAATTGATCGGCGAAGACTACCAACTACTCCATTAGGACTCCAGCGTGCCCCCTCCTAGGGCCGGCCTCCTCCTCCCTTGCTGCTTTATATACGGGTGCAGGGGGGCACCCCAAAGACACAAAATTGATCATTGATCTCTTAGCCGTGTGCGGTGCCCCCTTCCACCATAATCCACCTCGATAATACTGTAGCGGTGCTTAGGCGAAGCCCTGCGTCGGTAGAACATCAACATCGTCACCACGCCGTCGTGCTCACGAAACTCTCCCTCAACACTCGGCTGGATCGGAGTTCGAGGGATGTCATCGGGTTGAACGTGTGTTGAACTTGGAGGTGTCGTGTGTTCGGTACTTGATCAGTCGGATCGTGAAGACGTACGACTACATCAACCGCATTGTGCTAACGCTTCCGCTTTCGGTCTACGAGGGTACGTGGACAACACTCTCCCCTCTCGTTGCTATGCATCACCATGATCTTGCGTGTGCGTAGGATTTTTTTTAAAATTACTACATTCCCCAACAGTGGCATCCGAGCCTAGGTTTTATCCGTTGATGTTGTGCATGAGTAGAACACAAGTGAGTTGTGGGCGATATAAGTCATACTGCTTACCAGCATGTCATACTTTGGTTCAGCGATATTGTTGGATAAAGCGGCCCGGACCGACATTACGCGTACGCTTACGCGAGACTGGTTCTACCGACGTGCTTTGCACACGGGTGGCTGGCGGGTGTCAGTTTCTTCAACTTTAGTTGAACCAAGTGTGGCTACGCCCGGTCCTTGCGAAGGTTAAAACATCACCAACTTGACAAACTATCGTTGTGGTTTTGATGCGTAGGTAAGAATGGTTCTTGCTTAAGCCCGTAGCAGCCACGTAAAACTTGCAACAACAAAGTAGAGGACGTCTGACTTATTTTTGCAGGGCATGTTGTGATGTGATATGATCAAGACATGATGCTAAATTTTATTGTATGAGATGATCATGTTTTGTAACCGAGTTATCGGCAACTGGCAGGAGCCATATGGTTGTCGCTTTATTGTATGCAATGCAATTGCGCTATATTGCTTTACTTTATCACTAAGCGGTAGCGATAGTCATGGAAGCATAAGAGTGGCGAGACGACAACGATGCTACGATGGTGATCAAGGTGTCGCGGCGGTGACGATGGTGATCATGACGGTGCTTCAGAGATGGAGATCACAAACACAAGATGATGATGGCCATATCATATCACTTATATTGATTGCATGTGATGTTTATCTTTTATGCATCTTATCTTGCTTTGATTGAAGGTAGCATTATAAGATGATCTCTCACTAAATTTCAAGATAAAAGTGTTCTCCCTGAATATGCACCGTTGCCAAAGTTCGTCGTGCCCAGACACCATGTGATGATCGAGTGTGATAAGCTCTACGTTCATCTATAATAGGTGCAAGCCAGTTTTGCACACGTAGAATACTCAGGTTAAACTTGACGAGCGTAGCATATGCAGATATGGCCTCGGAACACTGAAACCGTAAGGTTGAGCGTGAATCATATAGTAGATATGATCAATATATTGATGTTCACCATTGAAAGCTACTCCATTTCACGTGATGATCGGTTATGGTTTAGTTGATTTGGATCACGTGATCACTTAGAAGATTAGAGGGATGCCTTTCTAAGTGGGAGTTCTTAAGTAATATGATTAAATTGAACTTAAATTTATCATGAAGTTAGTCCTGATAGTATTTTGCAAATTATGTTGTAGATCAATAGCTCGCGTTGTTGCTTCCCTGTGTTTATTTTGATATGCTCCTAGAGAAAAGTATGTTGAAAGATGTTAGTAGCAATGATGCGGATTGGATCCGTGATCTGAGGATTTTTCTCATTGCTGCACAAAAGAATTATGTTCTTGATGCACCGCTAGGTGACAGACCTATTGCAGGAGCAGATGCAGACGTTATGAACGTTTGGCTAGCTCAATATGATGACTACTTGATAGTTTAGTGCACCATGCTTAACGGCTTAGAATCGGGACTTCAAAGACGTTTTGAACGTCATGGACCATATGAGATGTTTCAGGAGTTGAAGTTAATATTTCTAGCAAATACCCGAGTTGAGAGATATGGACTCTCCAACAAGTTCTATAGCTAAAAAAATATGGGGGAGAATAGCTCAAGCAGTGAGTATGTGCTCAGATTGTCTGGGTACTACAATCTCTTGAATCAAGTGGGAGTTAATCTTTCAGATAAAATAGTGATTGATAGAATTCTCTAGTCACCATCACTAAGTTAGTAGAACTTCATGATGAACTATAATATGCAAAGGATGACGAAAACAATTCCCAAGCTCTTCGCGATGCTAAAATCGGCAAAGGTAGAAATCAAGAAAAACATCAAGTGTTGATGGTTAACAAGACCACTAGTTTCAAGAAAAAAGATAAAGGGAAGAAGAAGGGGAACTTCAAGAAGAATAGCAAGCAAGTTGCTGCTCAAGTGAAGAAGCCCAAGTCTGGACCTAAGCCTGAGACTAAGTGCTTCTACTGCAAAGGGACTGGTCACTAGAAGCGAAACCACCCCAAGTATTTAGCGGATAAGAAGGATGGCAAAGTAAACAATGGTATATTTGATATACAGATTATTGATGTGTATTTTACTAGTGTTCGTAGCAACCCCTCGGTATTTGATATTGGTTCAGTTGCTAAGAGTAGTAACTCGAAACGGGAGTTGCAGAATGAACAAAAACTAGTTAAGGGTGAAGTGATAATGTGTGTTGGAAGTGGTTCCAAGATTGATATGATCATCATCACACACTCCCTATACTTTCGGGATTAGTGTTGAAACTAAATAAGTGTTATTTGGTATTTGTGTTGAGCATGAATATGATTTGATCATGTTTGTTGCAATACGGTTATTCATTTAAATTAGAGAATAATTGTTGTTCTGTTTACATGAATAAAACCTTCTATGGTCATACACCCAATAAAATAGTTTGTTGGATCTCGATCATAGTGATACACATATTCATAATAATGAAGCCAAAAGATGCAAAGTTAATAATGATAGTGCAACTTATTTGTGGCACTGCTGTTTAGGTCATATTGGTGTAAAGCGCATGAAGAAACTCCATGCTGATGGGATTTTGGAATCACTTGATTATGAATCACTTGATGCTTGCGAACCATGCCTTATGGGCAAGATGACTAAAGACTCCGTTCTTCGGAACAATGGAGCGAGCAACTAACTTATTGGAAATAATACATATTGATGTATGCAATCCGATGAGTGTTGAGACTCGCGGCGGGTATCATTATTTTCTGACCTTCACAGATGATTTGAGCAGATATGGGTATATCTACTTGATGAAACATAAGTCTGAAACATTTGAAAAGTTCAAAGAATTTCAGAGTGAAGTGGAAAATCATCGTGACAAGAAAATAAGGTTTCTACGATCTGATCGCGGAGACAAATATTTGAGTTACGAGTTTGGTCTTCAATTAAAACAATGTGGAATAGTTTCACAAATTCGTGCCACCTGGAACACCACAGCATAATGGTGTGTCCGAACGTCATAACCGTACTTTATTGGATATTGTACA